ATTCAGAATGTGGCCCGGGAATGGATTTCTGGGAGGTCGAAGAATGGAGTTCTGGGAGGTCGAAGAGCACGAAGTGGAGTTCTGGGAGGTCGAAAAATGGAGTTCTGGGAGGTCGAAGAGCACGAAGTGTGTGACTGTTTGCGAAAAACGAGGTTCCCCGGCAATCCCCAACGGCCCCCCAACGGCCCCCCAACTCGTCCCCAACGGCTGCCCAGACCCCCCTGTGGAGTCATCTGCTGCTCTCTTTTTACACCATTAGAAACCTATCAGTCTTCGCTGTTAGGTAAAAACATTGATTTTACCTAGGTTTTGGAAGAATTTTGGCGTCTTGGGGGGGCCCAAGAGGCGACTCGAGGCACTCTAGAGGGGCAGCGCTAATTGGGGACCCCTCCTTCTTTGATAGATCTCCTCCAAGATGGCCCCAAGAGCGCCTCGAAGGCTCCCAAGAGCGCCCCAAGAGCGCCCCAAGAGGGCCCCAAGAGGCCCCAAGAGGCCCCCAAGAGGCCTCCAAGAGGCCCCCAAGAAACCCCCAAGAGGCCACAAGAGGCTCCCCGAGATACGCAAGAGGCCCCCGGGACCGCCAAGAGGCCCCAAGGACGGCCCAAGAGGCCCCCAAGTTCGCAATTGTCCTCCTCCTCCTCCTCCTCCTCCTCCTCTTTTTCTTCCTCCTCCCTCCTCCCCCTCCCCCTCCTCCTCCTCCTCCTCCTCCTCCTCCTCCTCCTCCTCCTTCTCCTTTTCCTCCTTCTCGTCCTTCTCGTCCTCGCAGTCCTCCATCTCCTCCTCCTTCTATTCCTCCTCCTCCTCCTCCTGCTCCTCCTCCTGCTCCTCCTCTTCCTCCTCCTACTCCGACGACGACGGCTCCTCCTACATCCTCCCCCTCTTGGGGTATATGGCGGCTCACCCCGCCCGTTGTTCTTCTGCATGCTCCCCCGCTTCCCTCATAACCTCCACTCCCCTGGGACTCATTTCTGGACGGGCTGGTGGGGATACGCGAAGCGTCTAGAATTCCTCGCTGAATTCGGCTCGGCGATGTCATGACAGCGACATCAAAACGCACGATTTGTTAACACGTTTTTCGGCTCGCCACCTAAGAACTACTCAAATGGGCACGCAGACCGCTGTGGCTGCGCGCGGGCCTGGGGCGCGGTGAGAACCCCGAGCCAAATGCCCCCCCCCCTCCACTGGATGGTGTGGGCTGGCTCCTCGTGTCGTCGTCGGCGTCATGGTCGGCGTCGGCGTCGGCGTCGGCGTCGGCGGCGGCGTCGGCGTCGTCGGCGTCGGCGTCGGCGTCGTCGGCGTCCGCGTCATGGTCAGCTCGTTCTCGTCGTCGTCGTCGTCCTCGTCGGCGTCGTCGTCGTCGGCGTCGGCGTCGGCGTCGGCGTCGGCTTCGGCGTCGGCGTCGTCGTCGTCGTCATCGTCATCGTCGTCGGCGTCGGCGTCGGCGTCGTCGTCGTGGTCGTCGTCGTCGCCTCGTCCTCGTCCTCGTCCTCGTCGTCGTCGTCGTCGGCGTCGGCGTCTTCGTCGTCGGCGTCGGCGTCGGCGTCGTCGTCGTCGTGTTCGGCCTCTGGGGGCCCTTGAGCTCATTCTTCGCTGCTTTGGGCTTTCGGGGGGGGGCCCTTGCCCCCCCCCTCCACCAGATGGTGTGGGGTGGCTCCTCGTGTCGTCGTCGTCGGCGTCCCCGTCGTCGTCGTCGGCGTCGTCGTCGTCCTCGCCTCGTCCACGTCGTCGTCATCGTCGTCGTCGTCGGCGTCGTCGTCGTCGGCGTCGGCGTCGTCGTCGTCGTCCCCTCGTCCTCGTGGTCGTCGTCGTCTTCGGCGTCGTCGTCGTCGGCGTCGGCGTCGACGGCGTCAGCGTCGGCGGCAGCGGTGTCGGCGTTGCCTCGTCCTCGGCGTCGGCGTCGGCGTCGGCGTCGGCGTCGGTGTCGTCCTCGTCGTCGTCGGCGTCGGCGTCGGCGTCGGCGGCGTCGTCGTCGGCGTTGTCGTCGTCGTCGCCTCGTCCTCGTGGCCGTCGTCGTCTTCGGCGTCGTCGTCGTCGGCGTCGGCGTCGACGGCGTAAGCGTCGGCGGCAGCGGTGTCGTCGTCGGCGTTGCATCGTCCTCGGCGTCGCCGTCGTCGTCGTCGCCTCGTCGTCGTCGTCGTCGTCTCGTCCTCGCCATCGCGTCGTCGTCGTCGTCGGCGTCGTCGGCGTCGGCGTCGTGGTCGTCGCCTCGTCGGCGTCGTCGTCGTCGTTGTCGTCTTCGGCGTCGTCGCCTCGTCCTCGTCGTCGTCGCCGTCGTCGTCGCCATCGTCGTCGTCGTCGTCGGCGGCGGCGTCGTCGTCGTCGTTGCCTCGTCGTCGTCGTCGCCTCGTTACAGTCGTCGTCATCGTCGTCATCGGCATCGGCGTCGGCGTCGGCGACGGCGTCGGCGTCGGCGTCGGCGTCGGCGACGTCGTCATCGGCGTCGGCGTGGGGGGGGGTGGGGTGGGGTTTTTTTTGGCGGGGCGGGCGTCGTCGTCGGCATCGCGTCGGCGTCCCCCGGTGCGTCGGCGTCGGCGTAGGCGTCTGCGCGGCGTCGGCGTCGTCGGTCGTGGTCGTCGTCGTCGGCGTCCCCCCCCCCCCCCTGGTGCGTCGGCGTCGTCGTTGCCGTGTTGTCGCAGACCTCCATCGGCGGTTGGGAGTCCGTGCGGTCCGTGCCGTCGTCGTCGGCCTCGTCGTCGTTGCCTCGTCGTCGTCGTCGGCGTCGTCGTCGTCGCCTCGTCGTCATCGTCGCCGTTTTCTTCGTCACCTCGTCCTCGTTGTCGTTGTCGGCGTCGCCATCGTCGTCGTCGTCGTGGTCAGCGGCGGCGTCGTCGTCGTCGTTGCCTCGTCGTCGTCGTCGTCGTCGTCGCCGTGGTCGTCGCCTCGTCGAAATCGTCGTCGTCGGCGTCGGCGTCGGCGCAGGCGTCGGCGTCAGCATCGGCGTCGGCGTCGGCGTCGGCGTCGGCGTCGGCGTCGGCGACGGCGTCGGCGTCGGCGGCAGCGGCGTCGTCGTCGTCGTCGTTTCCTCGTCGTCGTCGACGTTGTCGTCGTTGTCGTCGTCGCCGTGGTCGTCGTCTCGTCGGTGTCGTCGTCGTCGGCGTCGTCATCGGCGTCGGCGACGGCGTCGGCGTCGGCGTCGGCGTCGGCGTCGGCGTCGGCGTCGGCGTCGGCGTAGGCATCGGCGTCGGCGTCGGCGACGGCGTCGGAGTCGGCGTCGGCGTCGGCGTTGGCCTCGTTGTCGTCGTCGTCGTCGTCGTCGTCGCCTCGATGTCGTCGTCGTTGTCGTCGGCGTCGGCGTCGGCGTCGGCGTCGGGGTCATTGGGGTCGGCGTCGTCGTCGGCGTCGGAGTCGGCGTCGGCTTCGGCATCGGCGTCGGCGTCGAGGTCATCGTCATCGGCGTCGGCGTCGGCGTCGGCGTCTGCGCTGGCGAGGGTGTCGGCGTCGGCGTTGGCGTCGGCGTCGTTGTCGACGTCGGCGTCGGCGTCGTCGTCTGCGTCGGCGACGGCGTCGTCGTCGTCGTCGACGTCGTCGTCGGCGTCGGCGTCGTAGCCTCTCGACGGCGGCGTCGACGTCGTCGGCGTCGTCGGCGTCGGCGTCGTCGTTCTCGTCGGCGTCAACGTCGTCATCATTGTCGTCGCTTCGTCGTCGTCGTCGTCGTCGGCGTAGACGTCGTCGTCGTCCCCGTCGTCGTCGTCGTCGTCGTCATCGACGTCGTCATCGACGTCGTCATCGGCGTCAGCGTCGGCGTCGGCGTCGGCGTCGGCGTTGGCGTCGGCGTCGGCGTCGGCGTCGGTGTCGGCGTCGGCGTCGGCGACGGCGTCGGCGTCGGCGCCCTTGTCGTCGGCGGCGTCGTCGGCGTCGGCGACGCCGGCGTCGGCGCCTTGTTGTCGTCGTCGTCGTCGGCGTCTGAGTCGGCGTCGGCGTCGGCGTCGGCGTCGGCGTCGGCGTCGGCGTCTGCGTCGGCGTCGGCGTCGTCGTCGGCATCATCGGCATCGTCGTCGTCTTCGTCGTCGGCGTTGGTGAAGTGGCGGCGGCGGCGTCGACGTCGGGGTCGTCGTCGACGTCGACGTCGGCGTCGGCGTCGTCGTCATCGTCGTCGTCGTCAGAGCCTCGTCGCTGCCGTGGGGGTCGGCGTCGGCGTCGTTATCGTCGTCGTCGGCGTCGGCGTCGGCGTCGGCGTCGGCGTCGTCGTCGTAATCGTCGTCGTCGGCGTCGGCGTCGGCGTCGTCGTCGGCGTCATCGTCGTCGGCGACGGGTCGGCATCGGCTTCGACGTCGGCGTCGGTGTCGGCGTCAGCATCTGCGTCAGCGTCGGCGTCGGCGTCGGCGTCGGAGTCGGCATCGGCGTCGTCGTCGGCGTCGTCGTCGTCATCGTCCTCCTCGCCGTCGTAGTCGGTACCTCTGCGTCGTCGTCGTAGTCGGCGTCGTCGGCGTCGTCGTCGGCGTCGGCGTCGGCGTCGGCGTCGGCGTCGTCGTCGTCATCGTCGTCGTCGTCGTCGGCGTCGACGTCGTCGGCGTCGGCGTCGTCTTCGACGTCGGCGTCTACGTCGGCGGCAGCGCCGGCGTCAGCGTCAGCGTCGGCGTCGGCGTCGGAGTCGGCATCGGCGTCGTCGTCGGCGCCGTCCTCCTCGACGTCGTACTCGACGCCGCTGCGTCGTTGTCGTAGGTCGGCGTCGTCGGCGTCGACTTCGGCGTCTGCGACTTCGACATCGGCGACGGCGTCGGCGTAGTCGGCGTCGGCGTCGGCGTCGGCGTGAGCGTCGGCGTTGGCGTCAGCGTGGGCGTCGGCGTGGGCGTGGGCTTCGGCGTGGGCGTGGGCGTGGGCGTCGGCGTCGGCGTGGGCGTCGGCGTTGGCGTCGGCGTCGGCGTCGGCGTCGGCGTCGGCGTCGGCGTCGGCGTCGGCGTCGGCGTCGGCGTCATCGGCGTCGGCGTCGGCGTCGGCGACGGCGTATGCGTCGGCGCGCGTCGGCGTCGGCGTCGTGGCGTCGGCGTCGGCTCAGCGGGGCGTCGCGTCGGCGTCGTGGTCAGCGTGGGTTGGCGTCGGCGTCGGCGTCGACGTCGGCGTCGACGACGGCGTGGGCGTCGGCGTCGGCGTCGGCGACGGAGTCGTCGTGGGCGTCCGCTTCGGCGTCGGCGTCGGCAACGTCGACATAGCGTCGGCGTCGGCGTCGGTGTCGGCATCGGCGTCGTCGTCGGCGACGCCGTCGTCGGCGGCGTCGGCGTCGGCGTCGGCGTCGGAGTCGGCGTCGGGACGTCGGCTGGGCAGGGGCAGTGGGCGTGGGCGTCGGGCGTCGGCGTCGGCGTCGGCGTCGGCGGACGGCGTCGGCGTGGGCGCTGCGTCGGCGTCGGTCGGCGTCGGCCGTCGGCGTCGTCGTCGTCGTCGCGTCGGCGTCGGCGTCGGCATCATCGGCGTCGGCGGGGCGTCGGCGTGGGCGTCGGCGTCGCGACGGTGCGTCGGCGTCGGCGTCGGCGTCGGAGTCGGCGTCGGAGTGGCGTCGGCGACTCCGAACGCGACGCCGACCGAAGACGCCGACGAACGAAACGCCGACGGCGACGCCGACACCGACGCCGAAGCCGCGCCCGTCGCAAACCCCGCCCCCCGATGTCGACGTTGCGCGCCAACGCCGACGCCACGCCGACGTCGACGCCGACGCCGACGCGAGCCGACGCCAATCCGACGCGGACGACGACGCAGACGCCGCCCCCGCCCCCCCCTCGCCAGACGCCGGACGCCGACGCCGACTCCGTCGCGACGCCGACGCCGACGCCGACGCCCGACGCCGACGCCGCACGCCGACGAAAAGCCGAGCCACGCCGACACCGACGCCGACGCCCACGCCGTCGCAAACGCCGATGTCGACGTCGCCGCCGACGCACAACGCCGACGCCCACGCCGACGTCGACGCCGACGCGGACGCCGACGCCGGACGCCAACTTCGACCGCCGACGACGGAAGCCGACGCCCTCGCGACGCCGCGCGACGCCGACGCCGACGCCGACGCCGACGCCCTCGCCGACGCCGACTGCCGACGCGACGCCGACGCCGACGACGCCGACGCCGACGCCGACGGCAGACGCCGACGCCGACGCCAACGCCGACGCCGACGCCGACGCCGACCCGACGCCGACGCCGACGCCCTCGCCGACGCCGACGCCGACGCCGACGCCGACGCCGACGCTGACGCCGACGCCGATGACGCCGACGCCGACGCCGACGCCGACGCCGACGCCGGCGCCGGCGTCGGCGTCTTCGTCGGCGTCTTCGGCGTGGGCATCGGCGTCGGCGCCGGCGTCGGTGTCTTCGTCGGCGTCTTCGTCAGCGTCGGCGTCGGCGTCGGCGACAGCGAGGGCGTCGGCGTCCCACCATCCCATCTTTGGGGGGGTTGCCTGTGGAACCCTGTGAACCCTCGACCCTGGATCATGTATGCTGTTCCCTTCGGGTTTCGCTGGGCGCATCTCCTGTTGAGAGGGTGGGAAACGGGGATGAGATACCATTGCCCGATGGCGATGGGGGTAGGTTGAAATATACTCAAGGAGGGGGCCCTCAGAATCCAAATCTCCGCCGATATCATTTTCAGTCTCGCAATTGTTCTTCGATTTCGGCATCCAGGCCCAATCATCGGGACCCAGGACCATACAAACTGGATCCGCGGCGCAAAACTACCCCCAGGGAAGCGGTCTCAACCTCTTGGGCTGCGGATCGGAGCCCTGAGGGGGCAGCAACTAAACTCGGCCATGAGAAAACTCGGCCAGGCTGAGGGGGCAGCAACTAAACTCGGCCAGGAAAATCTCGGCCAGGCTAACTCGGCCAGCTAAGCTCGGCCAGGCTGAATGGAAGAGGGTCCAGCGCTGAACCTAGAAATCGACCTCCGAAATCTTATCTACGCTGGCGTAGCATGTCGGTCTGGCATGTCAGCGAATCTGCTGTGTGCAGCTGGCTTCTGGAGCGCCTGCCCAGCGCCGAGGGCGAACAAAACAGGCTGCGTGCAGCAATGTCATTATCCCTTTGACCAACGACCCCCCCGTTGCGTCCACACCAGACCTGTGCCGGTTGACGGAGAAGTGCTCCCGAATGGAGTGCTCCCGAATGGAGTGTCGAGTAATCCGCGTTGGGAATCATGCGCGCGATGATGGATCGCCTGCACATGCGTCCCCCACGCGAAACATGTAAATAATCCGGCTCCACACTTGCAGCGTCTGGTGCGTATCAGACCCTTGCCTCTTCGGAGGCGTACAGACATGGATCAGCAATCCATGGGCTCGGCGCGCGGTCGCCAGACCAATGGATCGGGGGGGGGGGCCCTCCCCAAAATGCGGCCAATGCCGCCTCGCTCCGCGGCGGAAATCCGCGACTTCCCGTGGAAACCGGACCCGTGGCTAATGTGAGCGCTGTTTTATTCGGCGTTTCGACACTGGGCTCAAGTCGGGCGTGTCCCCCCACAGGGGGATGGTGGGCGAAAAATGAAACAGACTCCAAAAAACTCAAAAGATGCCCTCAAAATACTCAAAAAATAATCTTGCTACCCCTTCCTGAGACCCTTCCTCCTCCTCCTCCTCCTCCTCCTCCTCCTCCTCCTCCTCCTCCTCCTCCTCCTCTCTCCTCTCTCCTCCTCCTCCTCCTCCTCCTCCTCCTCCTCCTCCTCCTCGCCCTTTTCCTCCTCCTCCTCCTCCTCCTCCTCATCATCATCCTCATCCTCCTCCTCCTCCTCCTACTCCTCCTCTCCTCCTCCTCCTCCTCCTCCTCCTCCTCCTCCTCCTCCTCCTCCTCCTCCTCCTCCTCCTCCTCCTCCTCCTCCTCCTCCTCCTCCTCCTCCCCAGACTAGTTTTTGACTATTCTTGAATGTGCCCCCCTTGGTCCATGTTTGCGATCGCCCGAATACGGACACGAGTCTTGCCCGCGCGGCTGGCTCTGCTGGCGCCCTCCACCCTCCCCGCGCGGGAGGAGGGGGAGGGAGGAAGGGAGGAGGAGGAGGAGGAGGAGGAGGAGGCGGAAGAGGAGGAGGAGAGGGACGGGAGGAGGGGAGGAAGGAGGAAGGAGGAAGGAGGAAGGAGAAGGAGGAAGGAGGAAGGAGGAGGAGGAGGAGGAGGAGGAGAGGAGGAGGAGTGAGGAGGAGAAGGATGGAGGGAGGGCGGGAGGATGAGGGAGGAAGAAAGGGAGGAGGAGGGAGGAGTAGGAGGAAAGGAGGAGAGGAGGAGGAGGTAAGGGAGGAGGACTTGTGAGGGAGGAGGCGAGGAGAAGGAGAAGGAGGAGAGAGAATCCCTTGATCCATGTTTGGATCGCTAACGTCTGCGCACGGCTCGCTCTTCGGAGGGTGCCCAGGGATGCTTCTGCGGGACGTCTCGGGGCAAGCGTGCGATCGCTGCCCCCAGACCACGTCCCAGGGTGCTGAGGACGATGGTGATGCTGGTGATGCAGGTGATGGTGGTGATGATGATGATGATGATGATGATGATGATGATGATGATGATGATGATGATGATGATGATGATGATGATGATGATGATGATGATGATGATGATGATGATGATGATGATGATGATGATGATGATGAGATGATGATGATGATGATGATGATGATGATGATGATGATGATGATGATGATGATGATGGTGATGATGATGATGATGCTGATGCTGATGATGATGATGGTGGTGATGATGATGATGATGATGATGATGATGATGATGATAATGATGATGCTGATGCTGATGATGCAGAGGAAGAGGATGATGGTGATGATGATGATCATGATGATGATGATGGTGATGATGATGATGGTGGTGATGATGATGCTGATGATGCTGATGCTGATGATGCAGAGGAAGATGATGATGGTGATGATGATGATGCTGATGATGATGCTGCTGATTATGGTCGTCGTCATCAACATCATCATCAGCAGCAGCATAATCATCACCATCGTCATCGTCGTCGTCGTTATCATCATCATCAGCAGCAGCATCAGCATCATCATCAGCAGCAGCAGCAAAATCATCATGTGAGACGCCCCGTGCATGGAACCCCCGGGCGGTCCCCGGCAGCCCTCGGGCCTCCCTCTCTCACCCCATGCGCGCACACCGTAACAACGGCCAGCCTTCGGGGCCACTCTGGTCTCGGACGGCCGCTCGGGACCATCCAGACACCCCCCGAACGCTCTCAGCTGAAGGGGCCCAAGGACACACAAATAAATACACACAAATAAGAAGATTCCCCATACTTTCCCATATTCTCTGAGTGTTTGTCTTCCCCCCCCCCACTTCCCACATGTTCCCATACTTTCCTGGGAGTCGACGATTCATTGTGTCTCTGTGTGTTTCGTCCCCTCCGCATCAGACCCCGCACGCGACGTGGACAGCCTTCCCCCCTCGGCGTGCGCCCCCCCCGAGGCGTGGGCCCCTGCCCGGGGGCCCGCGCTGCACCCCGGGGCGCGGGCCGGCCCCGAGGAGGAGGAGGAGGAGGAGGAGGGAGGAGGAGGGGGAGGGGGGAGGAGGAGGAGGGAGGAGGAGGAGGAGGAGGAGGAGGAGGAGGAGGAGGAGGAGGATGAGGAGGAGGAGGAGGAGGAGGAGGAGGAGGAGGAGGAGGAGGAGGGCCCAGCGAGGGCCCCGGGAGGCAGAGGCTCACGAGAAGCGGTCCGGCGTGGCCGTGGTCACGGCACGGGGGGGTCCGACCCCCTGCGCTTCCGACAGCCATCAGGCGCGGAGGCGGGCTCGCGCGGCAGCGCAGCCTGATAATGTACGGAAGTGGGGATGCATATCTTGGAGATTTGCGGTCGCCCCTGCGGGCGTGGTGCCAAAATGTGTGCCTTGGGCCAGAAGCCTGCGCAGAAAGGGGGGGGTTCTCCTCCTGACTCCTGTTTTTTCGTCCCGGCTCAAATCCTAGCTAGGCTAGCCGCCGAACAGTACAAACTGTTGTGCAGAACCGCTCACATAAGACTATGTAGTCTTCCAAAGCAATCAGTTCAGCCATAAGCGAACAGTGACATGTAGACGCCATGTCTCGCCAACGTAAACTTTTCCAACACTTGGCCCATATTCAATTGTGCTTCCAACACCCACGCTGCAGCCGAACATGTCGACGGCCGTGAGCCGCCGCAAGAATGATGATATTTGCCCCTGTCAGATCAATGCCCATGGGAATAACTCCTCCCAAGAACTCTGGACGTCTAACATCTCATTAACAAAATGGGCGACAATCGTATTGTAGTCCTGGCTGCGCCACACAATCGGGTCAGTATGTGCTCGAACGGTCTGCATGCCCACCAAAATGAGATTCGTTGCACTCCGCGTTAGTCTTCTGAAGACAGCTTGGAAAGATGTATCAGCAGGCGTGCATAATCTCATTACAGCATCTAACAACGGCTTGCACTCATGGATGACAAAACTTATGCTGCGTGAACTCTCTCATTCAGCCTCCGCGTTGCCATCCGAATGATCGTCCTAAACATCATGCAACGTGTGGAACATCCGCTGTGTATTTCGCAAATCTGTATGCGGCGAATCCACAGCTGCAGCCCCACAACGTAATCCTAGAACGGGCAACCCGTACTTCTCACATGCATCATCTGCGAACTGGCCGAACGGTCTCATCCAATGAGCCTCTGAGGGAGAATGCTAGCGAAGCTTACGCCGTTCAACGCCCTCGACGTCACAAAATATATCCGCCCAGTTCGCGTACGTGCCAGCGACCGCAGGCAATGGATGCTCCTTCACGCGTTGGTCATCGGAAATTGGGGGGTGAGTCCGACGTGACACGGAGACCCCCCCTACCGGGAAATCGAGTTCGTGTCGTGCGTGCCGTGCGTGCGGGCGGGCAAGGCGAAGCTGCGTGAGCGGGCGAGAGGAAATCCTCCTGTGGCTGGGCCGCGGCCGGACCAACTGTTCCTCCTCTGGCGGCCGGTGGCCCGCGGTGGCCCGCCGGTGTCCCGCTGATGTCCCGAACTCCTCCCGTGGAGAACGCGCCGCTCGAGGAGGGCGTGCGAGCACCAGGCTCTGCCAGTGCGTCGGGTGTTGACGTGGGAACCCCAGCGCCGTCAGGAGATGCTGCCACCCACACGAAGGCGCCGCTGGCACCAAGCTTTGCTCGTGCCTCGAGCGCCGGACCTATAACCAAGGCAGCATCGGGTGGCGCCGCGAGCAGTCACTGTGGCACCGCAGCACGCACGTTCGACCGCGTCGACCAGCGCTGAGGTGAGGTTCGCGTGATTGATAAGCGCACGCGGGGACAGCGCTCCAGGACAATGTCGAGTGCGCTTCGCCAACATCGCCACATCACAAAACGCTCACGTGCACAATCACACTACACACTAGACTCCGCCCCACAGGCATCGTCAGAACAACAATCACCACTTTTGCCCAGTGCTACCCCCCCCAACCTCCTTATCACCCGCAGGGTGGTCGTATAGGTAATCTTGAACACTGCTGTTATATCTAAGCAGAGTCCGCCAAAGCCGAATACAAAAACACCGCGATGCATCTAAATGCGTTCGCTCTCCGGCGTAAGGATACGATGACTCTCTCCGTGCATGCTTGCACACTTCTCGCAAAACTCGACTGTACAATGGCAGGATGTTGGACCTCTCGAAGTATCGAATGATTTGCAGCGACGTGGGTTGATTGAACTGCATGTGGGTCTCGTGGGGGCTCCAGCACCACCTAAACATCTTTCGAAGGAAAGTCCACTCCTAGACCTTCAACCTGACAAGGGCCGTCTTGGAGAGACAAAACAGCTGATGTCGACGGTCCCCTGCTCCACGCCTGCAACTTTCTCTGGACCGATCCGGGTCCCCGAAAGACACCAGCGTGCTTCCAGAATAGCGCCGAGGCCTTGCACAAACGATGCTCCAGAGGGGGGCACGTGTCCCCTGCATGCGATAAGTTCGCTCCCATCGTGTCCAAGTTGGACGCCCGAAATGGGTACGGAGAAAATGGGTACAATGCCCAACAACAAATGTTGTCCCAAACCAACAGCGGCCGCTGTTGGGCAGGCGGTCTTCTGTCTCAAATGGACACAGGCCGCAGCGGCGCGGACAGCGAGTCCTTTTCAAAATGAACAGGAATTGCTGTTGGGCATCGCACCCATTCTTTCTGCCCCCGCTTCGTTCGTGCCGACCCACTGCACCCGCTTAGAGAGGTAACTTCCGGGCCCAC